GCAAGGGTTTTTTTTAAAAACCCAACACTGAGCTGTTCACTCAGCGTTATTCACTGGGCACCTGTGCTAAGTGCTAAGGCTGCAATGTGTTTTGTGTTTTTTTGTTTTTTTTCAGATGGATTCTCTGTGTCGCCCAGGCTGGAGTGCAGTGGTGCAATCTCAGCTCACAGCAGCCTCCACCTCCGGGATTCAAGTGATTCTTGTGCCTCAGTCTCCCAAGTAGCTGGAATTCCTGGCTAATTTTTGTATTTTTAGTAGAGATGGGTTTCGCCCTATTACCTAGTCTGGTCTCAAACTCCTGGACTCAAGCAATCTGCCTGCCTTGACCTCCCAAAGTGCTGGGATTACAGGCATGAGCCATTGAGCCCAGCCAGGCTGCAACAATTTAAACAGGACAAAGCCCGAGCTGTCTCTACTGAGACATGCAGACCTCAAACAGGGAATTTCAAGAGGTATCAGAATTAGGAAAAGTTGAGTCCATGGTACATACAGTTAGGCATACATCCAGGTGAGTTAACCATGTCTAGGGATCAAAAAAGGCTCTCATGGGGTGTGATGTGTAAGCTGAGATCCAGAAAAAAGCCAGATAAAAAAACGGGAGGGGAGAGGCACCCAGGCAGGGTTATATATGGCTTGTTATATATGGATCTGGGAGGACAGAGTAGTAGGTTCAAGCAAATTAAAATTGCTGTATGTGGTAGCTCACACCTGTAATCCCAGCACTTTGGGAGGATCACTTGGGCCCAGGAGTTGAGACCAGCCTGGGCAACATAGTGAGATACCCTGTCTCTACTACTCCTAATAATAATTTTAAAAGTCTGAGCAATGTGGTGAAGCTGTCTCTACAAAAATTAGCCAGGTATGGTGGCATGCACCTGTAGTCCCAGCTACTTGGGAGGCTAAGATGGGAGGATTGCTTGAGCCCAGAAGGTCGAGGCTACAGTAAGCTGTGATCATGCACTTGTACTCCAGCCTGGGTGAAAAAGTGAGACTCTGTCTCAAAAAATAAAAAAAATAAAAACAAATAAATAGCCGGTCATGGTGATGCATGCCTATAGTCCTAGCAGTTCCACCTTAGCCTCCTGAGGTGGGAGGATCACTTGAGCACAGGAAGTCGGGGCTGCAATGAGCTATAATCATGCCACTGTACTTCAGCCTGAGTGACAGAGCGCAACCCTTTCTCAAAAAAAAAAAAAGAGAAGAGAAAAGAAGAATGATCAGTAGGGCCTCTGAGTGTAAGAGACAAGGGAACTGCTCAGGAGAAAACTGGAGGGGTAGGGGAAAAAAACACAAGGAAAAAAAAAACTGGAGAAGGGGACAAGATCAAACCCCAGGAAACCTTCAAAATAATTCATGGACCTGAAGAAAGCAAGCCTCTGAAGGACTCCAAGTCTGGGCGTGGTATGATCAGAGCTGCTGTAAACCATTGCTCTGGGAGAAAACCAAAGAAGGGGCGAGAGCGGACTAGATTTACACATATGATTTACACACATAAATGATTTATACACATATGCCACATATGCACAGACCACCTCTCAAAGATGCCTGCAAACTCAGTAAAGTGGCCAAGCAGGGTGGCTCACACCTGTAATCTCAGCACTTACGGAGGCAGAGGCAGGAGGATTGATTGAGGCCAGGAGTTTGAGACTAGCCTGGGCAATCCAGCAAGACCCCATTCCCCATAAAAAAAAGGAAAAAAAAAATTGGTAAAGTGAATGTCTCAAAGAAGACTGAGGGATGAGGAGTTGGATGGGAGGGAAACTCGCTTTCGTGGGATGCCCTTGCATGCTCTTCAGATTGTTTACCATGCACAGGTATTTCCAGCAAGAAAGAGTTTAATTAAATGATCACTCCGCATAACACAGCAAGTGGACTACAGGGACAGGCGAGAGTATATATAAGTTTCAGAAAACTATATGGAAAAGGCTTCATGATATGTCACTAAGGGAAAGAAAACTAAAGTGCCACTGTACATTGTAATTTATATGCTCAGAAAAAAGGCTAGAGAATTATCCATTAGTCCTAAAGTGATGACAGGTGAGCAAGGGGGTTACAAATGACTTTAATTGTCTTATCTCTGCTTTCCTGTTTTCCCGTTTTCTACACGAACATGTTATAACTTTAAAAAAAGGGAAACAACATTTTTGGAAGGGGGAAGGGGCCCACCTTATGCAGACTTGTCATGCCATCGTCATCCACCACCCTGGGGTTGGACCCATGTGATAGCAGGAGCCGTGCAATTTCAGTGTGCCCGCAGTAGCTGGCTCGGTGCAGAGCAGTGGCACCCCCATGGGTCTGAGCATCACAATTAGCTCCGCTTTCCAGCAGAAACTGGCACACAGCATAATGCCCATTGCGGCTGGCATAGTGCTGCAGGGAACAGAGACCAAGGTCAGATGGCAGAAGCCAGGCAGGCAACAAGGGTGGTGGAGAGGTGAGAGCACAGCCCCCTGCAGTGAGGGGCCTGGAGTCATCTCAGGTGCCACCTCCAGCAGTCATGTGACCTGGGCAAGCTTCTGCATAACTAAACTGGGTTTGTTCAACTGAAAAATGGGGAAAATGATCATTCCTAGCACATAAAATTGTTATGAAAATAAAACTAAATCGGCCGGGCGCGGTGGCTCACGCCTGTAATCCCAGTACTTTGGGAGGCCAAGGCGGGTGGATCACGAGGTCAAGATATCGAGACCATCCTGGTCAACACGGTGAAACCCCGTCTCTACTAAAACTACAAAAAATTAGCTGGGCATGGTGGTGCGTGCCTGTAATCCCAGCTACTCAGGAGGCTGAGGCAGGAGAATTGCCTGAACCCAGGAGGCGGAGGTTGCGGTGAGCCAAGATCGCGCCATTGCACTCCAGCCTGGGTAACAAGAGTGAAACTCTGTCTCAAAAAAAAAAAAAAAAAAGAAAAGAAAACTAAATCATTGGCCACAGTGACTCATGCTTGTAATCCCAGCACTTTGGGAGGCCAAGGCAGGCAGATCACCTAAGGTCAGGAGTTGGAGACCAGCCTGGCCAATGTGGTGAAACCCCATTTCTACTAAAAATACAAAAATTAGTTGGACGTGGTGGTGCACACCTATAGTCCCAGCTACTCACGAAGCTGAGGCAGGAGAATCACTTGAACCTGGGAGGCAGAGGTTGCAGTGGGCCAAGATCGTGCCACTGCACTCCAGCCTGAGTGACAGAGCAAGACTTTATCTCCAAAAAAAAACCTAAATTACTGCTGTAAAGCTCTCACACTAATTTTAAAAATCTAGAAATTTTGCTGGAAGAGAAGAAAGGGAGGGAGAAGATAAAAGGTAAACATTAATCTCCCTCCTCAGAGAGCAGGTCTCTCCTGACTTAACGCTTCTCTTTCCCGACCCCGTGCTCCTCCCTAGCTCACCAGCGCAGTGTAGCCAGCCGAGTCAGGCTGACTCGGGTCCTCGGCCTTCTGGATTAAATGTTTCACTCGGCCCAAGTCTCCATTCAGGGCTGCCGACCAGATTCCTGCAGAAAATCAACCAAAGCACTGAATGATGCTGAATGACTGGGAGTTTCAGAGTTTCCTTTGCCTCTTTACCTCTGTTTTCTTGTCTATAAAATAGAGGATATTCATTCCTTCAACAAATATCAACTGAGTACTCCTCTATGTCAAGGTTTGTTCTGGGTGCTGGTGACTTAGCTGTGAACAAGACAGACAGGGGCATGTCTCTTCAGGGCAGAAAAACTGGGCAGACACAGACTTCTCCACCCCACTTCAAACACAGAAGTGCTGGATGAAGTAATGTTTAAAATGTTTGGATCTGGAGTGAAATTCAGGCCAGGTGCATGGCTCATGCCTGTAATGACAGCACTTTGGGAGACTGAGGCGGGTGGATCACCTGAGGTCAGGAGTTCGAAACCAGCCCAGCCCAGATGGTGAAAGTCTGTCTCTATTAAAAATACAAATTAGCCAGGCATGGTGGCACATGCCTGTAATCCCAGCTACTCAGGAGGCTGAGGCAGGAGAATCACTTGAACCCAGGAGGCGGAGGTTGCAGTGAGCTGAGATCGTGTTGTTGCACTCCAGCCTGGGTGATAAAAGTGAAACTCCATCTCAAAAAAAAAAAAAAAATTCAAAAGCAATAAAAGGAAAATTCACAAAGTGAGAACCATAGTCACGGTGGTGAGAGGTCACTGAGGCTGTGAATCTGAAGTGCACTCGGAGCTGCACACTCAGCTCAGGGGCTCTGGTGCAAACACCCAGGCAGGGTCTACAGTGAAAGCCGCTGCTACACACATGGCAGGAGCTGGGGCAAGGATCTGCGCAAAAAGCCAGCAGGCAGGAAGTGCCCTAGCATGACAAACTGGGGCTGGACAGTCTCTATCTCCTGCCTTGCAAAGCAAGCTGCCATACCCAGATAATTCATTCATTCAGCAAGTTTTTATTTACTGTGTGTGTGGCACTGTTCTAGGCACTAGAAATCAACAGGGAATAAAAGATCCAACCCAAATTTTAGGCTCCAGAGAGCTTACATTCTAACTGAAGAAGACAGACACCAAATATATCTATTTCTTTATATATACCATCAAATATATATATCATCTATATATTTGTTATAATATATAACAATATACATATATATTTGTTATATATTTATGTATACTATATAAACATTTTATATACAATTGTTATAATTTCACATATATATAGCCTATAAATTTTATAAAATAAGTCTGGTGGGCTGGGCGCTATGGCTCACGCCTGTAATCCCAGCACTTTGGAACACCGAGGTGGGTGGATCACCTGAGGTCAGTAATTCGAGACCAGCCTGCCCAACATGGCAAAACCTCGTCTCTATTAAAAAAACAAAAATTAGCCAGGCACACTAGCATGTACCTGTAGTCCCAGCTACTTGGGAGGCTTAAATAGAATTGCTTGAACCCAGGAGGTGGAGGTTGCAGTAAGTGGAGATTGCACCACTGCACTCCAGTCTGGGCAACAGAGCAAGGCTCCATCTCAAAAAATAATAATAATAATAGTAAGTCTGGTGGTGCTAAATGCTCTGAAGAAAAACCATAGGAGGGAATGAGCAATGGTCAGGGATGGCCCCTCTGATAAGGCAACCTTAGAACAGAAACCTAAAGGTCATGAGAAAAGGTACTATTCAAATAGGTGTGAGAAGATAGCAAAGGCAGAAAAAAAACCAAAAAACCAGCTACCCTGACCTATGCAAATTGGAGGTATGGGAAGGATATCTGTACCTTTATAGAACAAAAACTCCAAGCTAAGAATCTATTATAGGGGCCGGGCGTGGTGGCTCAAGCATGTAATCCCAGCACTGTGGGAGGCCGAGGCGGGTGGATCACGAGGTCAAGAGATCGAGACCATCCTGGTCAACATGGTGAAATCCCGTCTCTACTAAAACTACAAAAAATTAGCTGGGCAAGGTGGCACGTGCCTGTAATCCCAGCTACTCAGGAGGCTGAGGCAGGAGAATTGCCTGAACCCAGGAGGCGGAGGTTGCGGTGAGCCGAGATCACGCCATTGCACTCCAGCCTGGGTAACAAGAGCGAAACTCCGTCTCAAAAAAAAAAAAGAATCTATTATAATCTGGATCTTTCATAAAAGCTGACCCAGGCAAGTGAACTCTATCAGGGCCAGGCAAAGGCCTGGAGGTGGAGGTTGCCATGAGCCAAGATTGTGCCACTGCACTCCAGCCTGGGCAATGAGGGAGACTCTGTCAAAAAAAAAAAAAAAAAGCAAGATGATAGACACATCAGAGTAACCAACACCTAACTTTGGATAAGGCAATGTTTACTTCTCAGCAACAGCACAATTGACCTTCTAGGCTGGATGATTACCAGAGGGGGCTGTCCTGTGCATTGTACCAGGTATAATGCATCTTGTCTCTACCTACTACACGCCTGCAGCAGCCTCCAGATTGTGACAACCCAAAATGTCTCCAGACACTGCCAAAGTCCCTTAAAAGGCAGAACTGCCCCCAGTTGAGAGCCAGGGTGTTTAGGGAGGGCCTCTGAAGAAGTAACATTGGAGCTGGGATCTGAAAAATAACATCAGCTAGTTTAACAGTTGTAGGAAGTCCATCAGCAACTCCAATGGCCTTAATTCAGGAAAAGGTCTTGCATATTTGAGACACCAAAACAAGACCAGTGTGGCTGCAGCATAGTGATTGGGAGAAGAAAAGCATGAGAAATGAAATGAGGGAGAGAAGTAGAGCCAGCAGCAGTGGGTTCACAGAGCTTTGTAAGCCATAACAGGGAATTATCCAAGCTCTCATTTGCTTTTTCTTTTCTTTCTTTTTTTTTGAGACGGAGTTTCGCTCTTGTTGCCCAGGCTGGAGTGCAATGGCACAATCTCAGCTCACTGCAACCTCCATCTCCTGGGTTGAAGCGATTCTCTTGCCTCAGCCTCCCAAGTAGCTGGGATTACAGGCATGTGCCACCACGCCCGGCTAATTTTTTGTATTTTTAGTAGAGATGGTAGGGGAGGGGGCCGGGGAAAAATCATTTAGTAGAGATGGAGTTTCTCCATGTTGGTCAGGTTGGTCTCGAACCCCTAACCTCAGGTGATCTGCCGGCCTCAGCCTCCCAAAGGGCTGGGATTACAGGCGTGAGCCACTGCGCCTGGCCACAGCGATTTCTCATTTTCAAAAAGCCGCTCTGGCTGCTGTGTTTGTAGAAAACCCTGTAGGAGAGCAAGCGTGGAAGCTGAAAGACCTTCTGAGGCAACCACTTCAGCAGTGCAGAAGGCAGTGGTAGGAGAGGTGGAGGGAAGTAGGCAGGTGCCAGAACCATGGTAAAGGAAGAGTTCCATGCGAATGCTTACACAGCAGTGACAATCAAGGGCAGTACTGTTGTTACTGCCCTGGCTGAGTCTGCACGGACAGATGACACAGCACAGTAGCACAGTGGTTCCCAACACCCAGAAGAAGCACCTTGGTTTCCCACCTTCCTCTGTTCCTATTGGCAACATAATCTCTGTGTAATCCGGGGCAAACGTGTTACCTATTACTATCTCTGGGTCCCACAGATGAGATACCGTGCCCTGACTTGAAGGCTGCCCGTGATAAGCTCTTGCTGTCTCTAAAGTACGCAGGCTGCCTGGCATCTGGGGTTAAGCAAGGGCCAGTGTCCTCCTTCACCAAGCAGCCCCCAGGCCTGCAGCTCCATGACCCTCAGGATGGGCGCAATGCCCCAGGTGCAGATTCTGCTCCCCGGTCCCTCTCTCCAATACCTGAGCAGACTTGTGTCTCCCAAGCAGGGTTGTCCCCCGTCACTCGGAAAGGTTACGGAAACCAGTGCGTCCGCTTCGCCGCCGCCCGCGGGACAGAGCTCGTGCGGGAGACACCTGGTATGTATGCTCTCAGGATGCGGGAGCCTCGAATCCCGCCCGCCGTCTCTCACCAGGCCCCAAGCTCTCAGGGCCCAGTTCACCCGCCCCTCCTTAACCTGGGGCCTCCTCCTTAGGCCGGGGCCTGGGAAGAGCCAGCAGGGCCGCGCGGCCGCCTCACCCCTCTCGAAGTCCATCTCCTCCAGCGTCTGCTGTACACCGAGCACCGCGCTGGGATGCGCGCAGCACGATGCGTCTGCGCAGGGCCGCGGCGTCGCCATCCCGGCTCTCGCCCCAGCCAAACGACCTGGGATCTCAGGCCCGCCCCGCGACCTTTATCTGGCCGTTCGGCATCCTCCGTTATCATCCTAGTCCCGCCTCCTTGCCAAAGCTGACCAATCAAACGCCTAGGCCTTAGCTCGCGACCCAGTCGCAGCGGCAGGGCGGGACTTGTTGCGCCGGGCTGTACCCCGAGGCAGTCGCGCGAGGGCGTCCGAGGCTAAGCTGAAGGCAGAAGCTCTGCGTTCCGAGAACCGCGCGCCGCTGTAGGGCGCGCGGGGCCGCAGGGCCTTGCGGGGTGTCGGGGGGATGAGGCCTTTGGGTCCGGTGGGGAGTTTTCCGTTTTCCTTCGCTAGGACCCAGGCCTCCAGCGGCTTCGCAGGCTCCTCTTGTTACCGCCTCTAGTCCCGCCGGGCTCCCAGGACTGGGGAGCCGGCTCGCTCCACGGTCTTTTGTTTCGTTTTGAGACGGAGTCTGGCTCTGTCGCCCAGGCTGGAATGCTGTGGCGCGATCTCGGCTCACTGCAACCTCCACCTCCCGGGCTGAAGCGATTTTCCTGCCTCAGCTTCCCAAGTAGCTGGGACTTACAGGCGCGCGCTACCATGCCCAGCTAATTTTTTGTATTTTAGTAGAGACGGGGTTTTTACCGTGTTAGCCAGAGTGGTCTCGATCTTCTAACCTAGTGATCCGCCCGCCTCGGCCTCCCAAAGTGCTGGGATTACAGGCGTGAGCCACGGCTCCCAGCCGCGCTCTACGGTCTTTACCCCCTCTTCCGGGACCACCTCTGGCCAAGGCCGACTGCCCTGAGGCAGCGGCAAAGTGACGGCTGGAAAGGCCTCGGGACACCCTGTACTCCGCTTTCTTTTTTTTTTTTTTTTTTTTTTTTTTTTT